CTTAACTGACTGAGCCACTCAGGCGCCCCTGGATTAGTTTGTAAAGAGGAGTCAGCAAGGCAAGACTCCGGGGGGTAGAGAAAATGCGAGTCTTGGACGAGCGAGCTCCTTCCGTAGGGAAGATGTGCCACCCTGAGCAGAGACGGGGGTTTATGCTCCCAAACTATCTGTTCCCGGGAAACAAATGCCCGGGGGATCTGAGCAAGGTGGACGGTCTGAAAACTCAACGATTTCCCCAGTGCATGGCTCTTTAAGAAAGAGGAAACCATGTTTTCTAGATGATTCTGTCATTCCTCGGAGGCAGGCGCTATTATTTTACATATATTTTGAAAATGCAGCATAAGGCACTGGTTGCATTGTCCTTAAAGAAACCAGCCCCCAGATTTTCTCTTTAAGCATTCCAAGGTCTGTTTCTCTCTTGCATTTATTAACAAAGGCATGAATATATGCAGTACTTCTAGACTTCCTGCATAATACAAGAGCTTTTAAGAACCTAATCCTTCTAGGAAACAAACTCGTCCAGCCTGTATGCTCCGCAAGGTTGGGGAGAGGGGGTCTCGGCATCTGCAGATTCGCCTCCAGTTGTGAGAGGGTCAGAATGTGAGTGTTTGGCCTCCCCAGCCCTGCTCCCTACAGAGCCTCATCCTGCCTCCCTCACCGCCGCATGCTTCCCTGGGGTCTTGGTCTCTGGGGCCACCCTGGACTGAGGGGCTCCATTCGGGTCTGGGGTTCGGCTGATGACAAAAGCAGCACTTTAAACGCACGTCTGCAGCATCCGGAGGGAACGCCCCATGTCAGGACTCGGTAGCGGAGTGCCCAGCTAGCCGTCCTGCAAGGTTTCAGGAGGCAGATCAGCACGGGTAATGAACAGAGGCGTCAGAACGGTCCGCGAGGCTGACCGTGGGTGTCGTGTCCCGAGGCTTTGGAGAGACTGTGGCAGGATGGTTCCCGGGGACTCGGTCAGCGTGCGTCACTGCTCGCTGCCAGTCCACACGGCAGCAAACACAGAACTGTCCCCAGAGGCCTCGCAATTAGCCGTGTTTACAAGAAATAGGGTCGGGTGAATGGCTGCCCGGAAAAATGAGGAGCCTGGAGCTCGGGGCGGTAAGCTGTGTGCGTGCAGAGGACCTCTGAGTGCCGTAGACCTGTCGCTCCTGAAGGTGCCGTTGTCACCATCAGGATGTCGTGGCCGCTGCCCCCTGGAAATCGTCTGGAGAGTTTTCGATGCCTGCATTCAAGTGAGGTTTCTCATCTGGAGAGGAGATTGGGGTATATGATTGTCTGTAACCTCTACTTGGAGAGAAGGAATCATGGAAAGCAGACAGAACCTAATAGGTCCCCACAGTCCTACCTGCTAAACTCAGCCAGGGTGGGTAACCGGGCGGGGGTCCAGCGGTGCTGGCTGTGTGAGTGAGGGCAAGGGCTGTCGCACGCGAGCCCAAAACTAGGGCAAACAAGTTGCTTTATCTCTGAGTTCGTTAACAAAGACATGTTCACGAATACGCATTTAAAAACCGGTGTTGACCCAGTGTGCCAGACTCTGGGCCACAGTGGGGAATAAAAAAGCCCAGATCTCTGCCCTCACTGTCCTCCTGGGTGCCTCTAGCAAAACCTCTCGAGAAACTCTAGCTGTAGAAGATGACAGAACAGTCCACTCTGTCTCCCTCTCCCTTCCTGATTCAGAATTCTTTCTTTCTATTCTATTTTTTCTTAAACATTTTTTAATGTTTATTTATATTTGAGAGAAAGAGAGAGTGCACGAGCGAGCGTGGGGGGGAGGGGCAGAGAGAAAAGGAGACACAGATTCAGAAGCTGGCTGTCAGCCCAGAGCCTGACGCAGGGCTCGAACCCACAAACTGTGAGATCATGAGCTGAGCCAATGTTGGACGCTTAGCTGACTGAGCCACCCAGGCACCCCTTAATTATGTTATTAATTGTGGTACCGGCCACATTTTTCTTACATCTGGGTGCACGAGATTGCAGACATATGCCCGCTTAAGCAAGCAGGTTAGGACGGGTCCTCAGCATGTGGTGTGTGCCCCGATCCCTCTGTGGGGTGAGGGATGGGGAGGGGGCTCTGGGAAAAGCCAGGTTCTGGGTGAACCAGTGGGAGCCTGGGGCTCGGCTGTGGATTTAATTATGGTTCTTTCTTCATGGCCATGAAAAGTACTCATCGGTTGTAAGAAACAAACAAACGAACAAAAACATTGCCTTGCTCCTAACAGCTGGGAGAAACATCGGTGGCTGTGGGTTGATGTCTGCAGACCCCCCCCCCCCCCCGCCAGGAGACTGAGCGAAGCTCCTTGTGGTGGGGAGCACGGCTGGTGTTCATCAGGTGGTGTTCCCCAGGCCCCGCCCAGTGTGTGCCCCTAGAAGGTGCTCAGTCGGGGGTTTGCCGATTGAATGCGGGCATGTGTGCGAAGCCCCACATATCACGGTATTTGGGGTGGGCAAAGTACTGGGTGGGGTAGCCAGGAGGCTGGCGCACAGAGCGGTAAAATTTCCTCCGACTCTGAGCGATGGACGCGTGAGGGGTCCGTTGCACTGTTCCTTCTCATCGTTTCAGTGCCTCAAGGTTTCTATACTCAAAAGTTAAACAAAATTTGCCCCTCAGTGGAGGTCCGGTGAGGACCCGGGCCACACACTCACCCAGCCGGTTGGAGCCCGGGGTCCATCTGCGGGCCCCCTGCCCCCTTCACCTTTCCCCGTGTCTGGCACGTAGAACGAGACGTCTCACGTGGCCCCCTGCCCCTCCTTAGTAGGACCCACACGGGCCCATCGAGGGTCGGCGTGCCGGGCACAGTGGATGGGTGACCTCACTCTGCGCTCTCGGGTGAGGCGGGGGCTCCCTGTCCGTCTGATGGAGAAGGAAGTGGGCGCTCAGGGGGGCCGAGGGACCCGCAGAAGGAGTGCCGGGGTCAGGCCAGCGTGCTCTGCCGTCCCCACCCTCCACCACCTTCGGCCGCCTCCTTTCCGCCCGTGCAATCACAGACCCCGCCAACCGCCTCTTGGGACGCCCTCGGGGCCCCGGTGTGCGTAGTCGCCCCCGTGCCTGGGGTGACAGGGTGGGTTGGGCGGCCAGGGTGGGGGGACTCGGCAATGCTGAGTCCGTTCCTGACGTCACGCACATTGCGTTTTCCAGAAGCATGTTGTGGAGACATTTTTTGGATTTGATGAGGAGTCTGTGGACTCGGAAACCTTGTCAGAAACCTCCTGCAACACGGACAGGACGGACAGGGCCCCGGCCACGCCCGAGGAAGACTTGGATGATGTAAGCACCCCCGCACCTGAGGTGCTGTGGGCACACGCCTCCGGCCTCTGACAACCGCCCCTGTTGCTCCCCGGGGTAGAGATTTCCGCCCCGAGGACCTGTGACATCTCAGCCTGCAGCCTCGAGGGCAGGAGGCCCCTGCTGGGCCCGGCCTCCATGAAGGCAAGAGGGGCACCGGCAGCATGTAGCGGTCCCTCCCCCCTCCCCCCCCATCTCACCACCCCAGTGGTGGCCTTGCTGTTACCTTTTCAGTTAAAACTGCTGCATGGTGGTCTGTCCCTGTCCCCCCTGCACACGCGGGCACACATGCACACACATGCATGCACAGGCTCACAATGCTCACAGAGGCACATACACACGCGGACAAAGGCACGCACAGGGACCCCACCTGGCGGGCAGGACACGGTTGCCTTGTCCTCACGAAGGCGACGCCTCACACAGGAGAGAATGCTCCCAGTGCTGGAGAGCGTGGAGGGCGGGAAGAACCCTCGGAAGCCCTCTCACCCCGAGCCACCAGCCTCACGGTCCCCGACCGGCGCGCACATCTAGGCTCATGACCGCGGCACTAAGTGAGCCGGACTCACAGAGGCGTGAAGGGTGGCTCTGTCCTCGCCCGCCCGCCCCTCGCCGGCTGGGCTCTCTGGAGAAACCCGAGTAGGGCACGGTCACACCAGACACGGGCCTTTTTTGATTTTCCTTTGGCACCAACAGTTTGTAACGGGCAGCCTTCGGTACCGAACGCCGTGCTCCACGTCCCCGTCTCTGGTGAGCACGCGGGACTTTTCACGTGGACGCGCACGGAGCCTTTCATGTCAGAAGTGTCCCCTAACAGGTGCTTCCCAGTTTTCACAACCACAAAGACGTGCCACTGGCCAGCCAGTCGCTGCACCCTTGCGTTCCTGGGGGGTTGTCTTTGGAGAGGTTCTCGAAGTGAGAAGCACGGAGGGAGGGGGCACAGAAACGTCCACCCGTGGGGTCCGGGCTGGCTCAGGGGCGCTCTTCCCCTGCCTCCCTTGCACGTGACTCAGGGATTCCGGGCTTCCGCGAGCTCCCGGGGAGGGCGCTGATGACGGGGACGGCGTCTCCTCCCGCAGCCTGTCACCCGGGGTCCCCAGTTACATCCCGGCGGTGACCGGCACCCCCAAGGAACTGTGGGCAGCGGCTGTGAGGGCCGGGTGTGTGCTTCCGGGCCGAAGCCTCACCACGCCACGCGCTCTGTTGTGTCTCTCTTCTCCGGTACGTTCAGACGACGACGAGAGAAGAGGCCGACCTGCGGTTCTGCCAGCTGACCAGGGAGTACCAGGCCCTGCAGCGGGCCTACGCCCTGCTTCAGGAGCAGGTGGGGGGGACGCTGGATGCTGAGAGAGAGGCCCGGGTGAGTGCGCAGAACGCCGGGTCCCCGCGCCCCGCCTTTGACGCTTGGAGGGGGTTGCGCGAGCTGATGGGGGACACCGTGGGCAAACCCGTGGGCCACCGTGTGACCGCAGGCGCGGCCAGAAGAAACGATGCCGTGGTCCGGCACACGTCACGCGTGCCGTCTGTTGGCAGGAATGCGTTCAGACCCCAGGGCTCAGCAAGGACCCTCCTCTCCCTCCCAGGCTGAGAAACCCCTGTGCACATCCCGGCCTGCTCCCAGCCCTCAAGGCGCTTTGGTCCCTGCCGGCCACCCAGGGCTGGGCCAGGTCCCCGTTGCACTGGGCTGAGCTCTGCCTTCCAGGAAATTCCACCCGCTGGCCCTTACCCCACCCTCGGGAGTCACATGGGCCGGCGGCTGCCTGCCCCTCCTTCTGAAAGCGAGGGGCCCCCCAGACACAGTGCTTTACCCAGCACAGTCCCCGTATCGTTCCCGCGACAGCCCCGTGAGGTAGGGGGTGGCAGATGAGGCTGGAGTGGGGGAGAGGAAAGCTTCTTGTGCCGCAGTGGAGTTCAGCCTGTAACCTTGTAGGTGGGAGGAGGTAACAGGGCTGGGCTCGGTGTGGCCTGCCTCCTGTGGCTGCCAGCGTTTAAAACTCAAGAGATTTCGCGTAGAAATTCAGGTTCCTTACCTCTCTCGGCGGCTCACAACGTGCTCGGCCGGGCAGCAGTGGGCTTCCTGTTCACGTGGTGTCGGCTTTGGGCCGCGGCTGAGTGGGGATTTCGCCTGAGGGGGGGGAACGTGTGCCTCAGTTGGTCCCGATCCCCACCCCCTGTGCGACCCCACACTCAGTCTGCTTCCCTTACTTACATACCCGCCCGGTCCTTGAGACACTTGGGTTTTCAGCCCTTCCCGTAGGTGATAAAGGGCCCACGAAACGTGTCTGGGAGCGTTGGGAGAGGCAGCCACTGAACGTGGTCGGAAAGCCAGGGTGGGGACCTTGACATCTGGCTTCCGGCTCGCTTACCCCCTTGTAGAAATGAACCCCTTCTCTAGGCTTCCGTGTCAATGTCTGTAAAATCCAGGGGAATAGAGCCGACGACCCCTCAAGGTCTTTCGGTTCTTAAACACGTATAACGTGCAGGCGAGCGACCCCACGCGCCGCCTGCGAGCCCGTGCTCCCCCACACGGACGTGCCTCCAAGGCCCGGATCGTGGCGCGGTCCTTTCCACCCTTGTCACCCATTCGCGGTGACCCGCTCGCTTTTTGGCCCTCTCCTCTCCAGACTCGGGAACAGCTCCAAGCTGACCTGCTGAGGTGTCAGGCGAAAATCGAAGATTTGGAGAAGTTGCTCGTCGAGAAGGGACAGGTGAGTAGAACGAGCTCGCGGCTCTTTGCGTTTCTGTCCCCTCGTGGTGTCCCCGTGGCCTTGGTGCTGCGGGGCGGGGGACCCCCTCCACGGTCTGTGTGGTTTGCTCCAGAGCCATTAGAGAAAAAATCCCTGGCAGAGCCCAGCGAGAATATCCTACCTGCGGTGCCTGTTTGCAGAGTTTTTATAGAAATCAAACCACGAAATGAAATTCTAACGTGGCGTTTTCTTTGTGGGCCAAATGCTCGGAAGTGGGGGACACTTCACAAAGCGAGGTGGTGACCACAACCCGTTTTGACTTGACTCTGAACGAAAAGCTGCCGCTGGTTCTCAAGATCCAGTTGTGAAAGTGAAGGGGATCCCCGCCTCCCGGCTTCCCGGCTGTGGCCCCGTCACGTGCCCTCCAGGTCCCTGAGTTTCTCGGAGCCGAGTCGCCTCCACATGCGCCTTCTCTGAACGTGACAAGGCCCGGTTGACAGCAGGGAACAGTAAAGAGGCAAAGCCCAGCCCCAGACCCGTCCCCTGGGTTGGGGGAGACCGTGGAGGGTGGTCTGGGTGGAGGTCCAGCCTCTCCGAGGGTTACGTTCAAAGGCGACATCACCCAGGGGTCAGCGCGGGTCGGCCGCGCTCTCCGCGGTAAGAGATAAACCAGAACTTCGCAGTGGCTTTACCGTGGTGAGGTTTGTTTCCTACTCAGCACCCTTCCTGTCCCTCCCGCAGGGGGGGTCGTCCACTCCATGTGGTTACTCAGGGATCCAGCGCTGGGGCACCAGCCTGGATATAACGGCCCCGTCGGCAGTTCGCCTTCCGCCTCAGAGGGCAGGAGAAGGCAGTTTGCTCCCTGGACACGTTTCACCAAAACAGTCATGTGGCTACACCTGACGGTGGGGGTGCCGTGCGGGTAGGGGGTGGGGAGGTCTGGCAAGGGCTCCCCGAGGTCCTGGGCTGGGACACGGGGGCTGGCGGTGGGTGTTTAGGGAAGGGGGTGTATGAGGTTCTGAACAGATGGCTTAGAACTAACTCTGAGCAGTTAGTGGCTCTAGGTCTCGGGTGGTGGCTGAGATTCGAATTCAGGCAGACGGCCAGTAACCAGGGCTGGGGGTACTCGCGAAGCCGCCCACAGCGGCAGCATTGTGGCCGGCGCTGATCGGCCAGCCCTTGGGCACTGCTTACATAACCGTGGTCCAGAACATTCCACGGAGGCAGGACAGCGGTGAAGAGCCCATACTCCGGGACCGACTTGGCAGGCATGTAGCACAACCCACGCGACCGACACTGTCTCTTTGTGCCTCGGTTTACTCATCTTTAAAATGGGGGTGATATTAATCCTTCACATACTGGGGAAGCAGAAGTGGTAAGAGGAAGCAGCCTGGGGAACAGTCCAGGTGGGAGAGAAGGCTGTTTTCAGACTCCCGTCCACCTGCCACTGCCCTCGGCCCCTCTTCCAGGCTGAGCTCACATAGCTCCTGACCACCGTCTTCGACTAAGTTACGCCCCACCCGTGGATGCTAGGTCCTATGTTTGCGGGCTTTTTCTGCTCTCAGCACCTTATAAATGAAAGGGCCACGCTGGGACAAAGCAAATGTCCATTTGTTCACTGAGCACTCACCAGAGTGCTTGCCCCACGCCAGGCTCTGTGCTCGGCGTGCAGGGATAATGTATCGATTAGCTATCACTGCGTAACAAACCACCCCAAAACTTAATGGTTTAAAACAAGAAAAAAAATTGATTTGCTCATAATTCCGTGGGTCAGCGGTTTGGATTGGGCTCAGCCGTGTAAGGAGTTCCTCTGCTGGTCTTACCGGGGCTCATGCTACAGGCTGCTCTCTGGGTCACCTGCGCCCGGGTGGCCTGCAATGGCCTCTCTGTCCCGTCTGGGCACTGGTGCCGGCTTTGGCTGCCGTGTCGGCTCATGGTCTCTCATCGCCATCTCTCTTACTCTCTCCAACCTGGCGTCTTTGCCTGGTGGCCTGGGGACCGGAGGAAAAGGCAGGCCTCAGTGCACAGGTGCATTCCAAGCCTCTGCTTGAATCCCATTTGCGAGTATCCCGGCAGCCGAAGTCGCCACAGCCACGCCTGGCTTTGGGGCTGGAGAAGCCGATGCCATCCGTCATTGGGAGGAGCTGCAGAGTGATACTGCAAAGGGCCGTGGAGGTGGGAGGGACAGTTGCAGACAGTGTGATTCAGATACAAGGATGAGTAGAACGGGCTCCGTCCTCACAGGGACCCACGGCCTCATGGGGCCTCCATGTGTCGACCCAGCGACAGTGCAGGGTGATACGTGAGAGGTGGAGGGAAGCCGAGGCCGCCGGAGCCAAGAGAAGGGAAGAGGAATGTTCTTCGTTTGTTCCCTTATCCATCCTGCCGTGTTTATGGAGCACAGGCTGGGGACGCCACGGTGGAAAGACAGACCTAGTGCCGTGTGCTCATGGGACTTGCCTGGACAGGAACCTGCCCAGGCCGAGACACGTAGTTAGGGCCTCACGGGCAGAGGGACCAGGATGCACCCGAGAGCGTGTCCGCGGGTGTGGGGGAGACCCCGGGTGCAGTGAGCAGGCCTGAGCGGGTGGGCAGTGCCGATTTGGTCGCTCTGCAGCTGGTTTCCTGGCAATGACACTCAGCGTGGGCCCCCTCTGCTTTCAGGGAGCGTGAGCGGTAGGGAAGGGACACCCCGCGATCCCGCCGGCTCGCTTTTCTGGGTGTAGAGGTTTAGAGGGATGATGAAGTCTTTCTAGCTGCTGTCTCTTCTCTGATCTTTTCATAGTCCCCTTTTTTTTTAATGCTTATTTATTTTGAGAGAGAGAAAGAGAGCACATGCACAAGTGAGGAGGGGCAGAAAGAGAGGGAGAGAGAGAGAATCCCAAGCGGGCTCTGCACTGTCAGCACAGAGCCTGACGCGGGGCTCGAACTCACAAACCATGAGATCGTGACCTGAGCCGAAATCGAGAGTCGGGCGCTTAGCCTACTGAGCCCCCCAGGCGCCCCATGACCTTTTCATAGCCTTATATTAGGTGACTTTTTTTCGCTGACTCCGTCTTTGCTGCGTGAGCACCTGTTTGCTTCAATGAGCGTGAACATATTTAGTGCTTTTTCTTAGGATTCCAAATGGGTTGAAGAGAAGCAGCTTCTCATCAGGACAAACCAGGACTTGCTGGAAAAGGTATGTGAGCGTCAGTACCCTTCCCGCCCCCTCAGAGAATCAGGGACCTCAGAGGCTCAGCCCGACTGAGACTCTGCCCCATTGCCCCCATGGTGGGTCTGGGTCCTGACCGCTCTCAGAGCACAGACCTCTTCCTCACATTGAGTCCGAGCCGAATTCCTGGGGCTTCCCAGGCCTCGGCCCCGGTTCTGTCCTCTGGGACAGGGCGTGCGCCCTGCAGACACAGTGAGGGCCGCCCGCCCTCCCTCCACAGGGCTTTCCAGGCCGCCTCTCCCATTGCTCTGGAACCCCTGGCAGGTCCCCTCCCTCCCACG